AAGGAAAACTGCGGTGAACACGTTGCCTCTGCCTACGAGTGCCTTGCCCCGCCTGCTTTCCGCGGAGATTTGTTCCGATTTTGTGCCCTCCACACCACGGGTGGTGTGTACATGGACGCCGACATGCTTCCGCTCGTTCCCATTGATGATCTCTATGATCCTTGCGCCGTTGCTACTGTTGGACATGACTGGCCCCAAGGTCGCCCCCAGAAGCAGATGAAGATCCTTGCCGGACGCGCTGGAGCTCCTATCTTTAAGTGCATGCTTGACAAGATCGTTGGAAACGTCAAGTCCCGATACTACCCAACCAACCCCCTTGCTCTCACCGGACCTATGCTCCTCCACGAGTGTTACGAGGATCACTCTGAAGGAGTAAGTGTCACCTACCGCGACACCCGTAATGCCGCCTACCCTTACTCCGGTATGCGCGCGGGAGACGACCTTCTCGCCTTCGAGATCCCTGCCCACAACAAGAACTACAAGATCGACTTTGACGATCACGAGGTGTACCGTGACACCTGCTCTTTCGCCGATGAYGCTGCCGTTGGCGCCACCGCCGSCTCCATGTAATCACACCAGTGATAGTGTTTCGAATCCGAATCTGTGAATCGAAAAGAAATCGAACGACCCATATTACTATATCTGTGAAATAAATACACCAATAGATCAACTGTGAACCGGGCAAAACATTCGTTATGGTTTTGGCTCGGGTCGTTGGCTTATTGCGTCCTAGTTTACCATAAAATTAAGAATTTAACGTTACTTCTTGTCAAAATACCATAAATTCTTCCCCTTGTGACAACCTAGTTTCTTTGTAGTCCTGCTTGTCTCCAACCGACGAATAAGGTTGTCCTGCATTGAAGACTCCTACTACCATGATACTAGTGGGGACGTGCAGATGATATGATAGAAATTCTAAACCATAAAACCAAAACCATGTCAATCCAGAGACAGTGTTGCCAAAGTATCAGAAATTATGGAACTCTTAATATCATAGCTATAATTACCACAGTGATTTATGAATGCCTCAGTCAGACCAAAGATTTGGAGGAAGGTTTTGGAGAGAGCTTCACTATGTTCAAGAAGGCAGGCCAACAACAAGACAATCATTTTCCCAAGTAAAATATGTCRAGCGCGCCAACTGATATCATGAAATCTTGTCCAACTRCACCATTTTTTCTATGGAATTTTGTCTTGATGCTAATCAACAGGTTGGAAATACATTCTTGATGAACATATTTACCCTAAYCWCTACCTCCTGCTATCCAAAACTGCACCAATACTGCTTCATAATGTTGGTAGCAACAAGGCAAAACTTTGTTGATTGTCAGACACAGAGGAGTCMTCACCACCACCTGCTGAAGCTGCCATTATCCCATTGTTGGAAGCACATCTCCTTCTGACAACCAACAGCTAATCACCCCATCCCRTTGACACCAATCAGCAACACTCCCTGCCTAATACTAATCAGCAGCACTAATCAGCAACAGTTTCCTCCCAGCAACACTCCTATCCACAACAGTATCAGCAGCAACACTAATCAGCAAGCTACTACTGACGTCAACAGCTATCAATCATGACAACAACAAAGTGGCAACATCAGTAACAACTGTCTGGCTGTGGGCCTTTGTGGAGTCCCAGTCTGTAGCATTTGAAGGAGCCTTTGAGTTAGAATCAGAATTGGGAACATTGTTTGAGGATGAAAGCTCAATTGATGRGGAGGTTGAAAACAAGACTGAGCATGAGTGTGATTATGATTATGAGTCACCACAAGGAGGCTGAGCAAGCTGAGACATTCAATGTAATTACACAGAGCCAGGCAGCTTGGAACTGGGATACTAATGTGGTTGAGCCTCATGATACTGAGTTCTTTTATTGGAAGAATGGAACTATTGTTGATAGCAGACTTAATTTTCCCAWTGTTCTAGTAAGCTATGAAAGGAAGGATCCAAATGTTGACAAAGGAGAACCAGAAGACTGGAATGACACTGATAACCCAGGTGGATGGCATCCGTATTACTAAAGACCCAAGTTTGAAGCAGGAACAGGGAACAAAGAGAAGGGACACTTTCTTCCCTCCAAGTGTAAGCCTGTAGAAATTCCTAAACACTTAACTGGTCTTGACAAGGAACCCATGGGGATCTAAATGAATGGAAGTTTCATTATCTTGGATGGGATGGCACAGTCAAAGATCCTAACAATAAGTTTGCATGTTGTTGATGGTATCTCCACATAGTGTGGGCAAARATTCCTCTGCGAGTGCCTTCTCCACTTGTGCAAAAGAATCTGCAACATCCAGGACAACATGTTGGACATATGTCCATTTGGACTGCAAAGACTTGGTCAACCCTGMAAAAGCAGCCTTTGGGTATTGGCGGAGTCAAATGCTTTCAACCCAYTTGTCAATCTGTGGCTGGAGCCAATCTTCCTTGGCTGCATTGGTGCCAAGGAGACCCCCAMGGTAACGGTGTCCATCTTGGAAGTCAAAATTGAATTTCTGTAGGATAGTGCTGGTGCTGAAGTGGTTGTTTTGAGGCCCAACAAAAATATTTTTTGTTCGCTCTGGTAGTGCATCATCTGCAACGCCACCAGTAAGGTGAGTGTCAGGTTGTGGTGAACATGATCTCCATAGATCTTATCCAATTTGGAATCTGCCGCAGTGAGTACGTAGTCAGGGAGATCCCCACCCTCATCCAGAACCAGTAGATCCGGCCAAATTGTGGTGGTGTGAGTAGGTGGGGGAGAATCTGGAGGCTGTGATATTTCAGCATGGCATGGAGGAAGAGCTGCCCTTGCTGTTCTCTCCTGTTTTCAGCCTCTGGATGATAAGGGGCCTCATTCCTTCTCTTCTGTTGCTATTGTTGTCCATGTCTCTTAGCCCGCCCAAGCCCTCAAATTCAAATGTCTCTGCAGAGGTGCGGATCRAGCCTCAGAATGAGGCACCAGGCAAGGCAGAGCAGCATTGTTGGTTGCCTCATGCAAAGAAGCCTTTACAGAAGCGTCATGTGATGCATACAAAGAAGCCTCCGCACAATCCTCCAAATGAGGCACTGGAAGAGCAGTTGAGCTCAAGTTGTACTTACTGGGACAAGTTCCACTATGATATGACATACTACAGGAAGGCAATGCAATGACTGCATCAATGTTCTAAGTAGCCTTAAACACAGCRGAAGGGTACCAATAGTGATAGTAATTGCAGCAGGCTCATCCTCAGTACTGGTGCTTCAGTGCTGTTGCAGCAGTAGATCAGTAGCAAGAACTAGGGGCAAGCACCTCTGAAGAACAGAAACAACAATGAAAGTTACTAGTACTACATTGTTCTAAGGAGGCATGCAGCTGGCCCAATAAGATCATCTCAACAGCAGTACTTGTGCTTCAGTACTGTTGCAGCAGTAGATCAGTAGCAAGAACTGGGGGCAAGTACAACCTCTGAAGAACAGAAACAACAATGAAAGTTAGTAGTACATTCTAAGGAGACATGTGGCTGGCCTAATGTGATGATCTCAACAACAGTACTGCTGCTGCTTCAGTACTATTGCAGCAGCAGGCAAGCACCTCTGAAGAATAGAAACAGCTACTGAGTTGCACTAAAGAAAGTAGTACACCAGTAATTCATACAAAAGTASTATATCCCCCTTCTGATTTGTAAGATGAGAGATTACCCCTCCTGATTCAGTCAAACATACTGATTTGTACTGTGAATCATCATAGTACAAAAAAGGAACCCCCCCCAAAAATCATTAAGTCATGTGGTAGAACATATGGGAAGTTTTAATTTTCAAAACTAATTTTTTCATACACACAAAACTATTCCTACCTACTGTACATACATACCTGACCTGCACCTTCTGGTGTCCAAACCCACCATGGTGACATCCTTTCTGAAGGGGAAATCCCACCTACCTGGCCTCCATTCAATCAATCTAACCAAGACTAAACTCCTTAAATTGATATCATACACCCCCTGTCCCCAGCAAGTGGCAGTATGCCCCAGCTGGTGGATCCATCCCCAGTTCTTAAGGACCAGAAGAAGATTCTKGTCATGATGTAGTTGTTTCTGACATTTGTGTTGGACAGCAACAACAATAACCCCAGCCCCCAGTATTCAACCAAGATCTATCCTGTGGAGACCAACACCTGGAGTATATGCTACATCATACTTAGTTTAAATGTAGATTCACCAKCATCTCCAGTTCCATCAGTATTATTTATGGACCAGAAKCCCCCRTGTGTTTCTGGTCACAATGTTGTTGCTTCCAACATTYGTGCCAGAAAGCAACCACAACAACCCCAGGCCCCAGTATTCCACCAAGACCTATCCWTTGACAAACAAYGTCTGAAGTATATGCAGCATCTCCATGCAGTTCCAATATTATTTACAGACCAGAAGCCCCAGTGTTTTCCAGTCATAATGTTGTTGTTTCTGACATTCATRCCATCAAGCACCAACAACACCCCCAATATTCACYTAAGACCTATCCTTTGAAGAACACCACCAGGMGTATGCTACATACTMAGTTTTAAAGAAATTTCCCCAGCATCTCCATGCAGTTCCAGTATTATTTATGGACCAGAAGAAGAAACTTCCACCAGTCACAATGCTGTTGTTTCTGCCATTTGTGTTTGACAAMAACAGCAACACCCCAMGCCCTATCAAAGCAATTYCACCAAGCTGATGCTGCTATGATCACCCGCACCCTCCCACTACCCCAGTTCTTTGGACCAGAACCAGTTTCTGGTCAGGATGTTGTTGTTTCCATCACTCATGTTGGATAGCATCAACAACACCCCCATCCCCCCATATCTACTAGTAGATCTGATTGATCTATCCCTAGTTCTTTTCTTCAAGAATATTAAGATTTTTTTGAACATGTGGGAAGTTGTATGTTTGCTATCTTTGCTTGGAGAGTTGTGTGAAAATTGAATAGTCACATTCAGCATACTAATATGTACAATGTGTCTCCACCATGCCAAAAACTTCTTCAGCTTCCAACATATGGATGTCAGCTTTCACTGGAGGCTTCATATTATTCAGTTTAATGCTTTTGTGTTTGCAACAAAGGAGGAGGGTGCCAATCTGTGCTTGCGTCAAAGAGGGTGCTGCTGCTTATTGGTTGTTGGCTGCTGGTGATTGCTGCTTCTTGCAACAAAGAGGGTTCTAATTTTGCCTGTCACAAATAGGGTGCAAATTATATGCAACCTGCAAATTATGTGCTTGTGACAAAGAGGGCGCAAATTTTCCTCATTTGGGCTTATGCTTTGTACAACAAACAAATTGAATTTTTTAAATTATTTCTTTAGGAAAGAATCAACAGAAAATTCTGTATGGTTATTGGGGGTCAGCAATGCAACAATATTTTGCACAAAATAATTTGTATTGATGAATTAGCATGGTGTTTAGAGTGAATTATAATGAATCAGTTTATGTATACTAGGTCTAGATCTCCWCTTACATGGTTTCCTGTGTTATAGTCGATCAGGAACTAGTTTCTGTAGTTTCAATCCCCTGTAGGACTTGGTACACATTCTACTGAGGGCTTCAGGACAGAACTTATTGTCAATGTTCTGCTTCTGATTCTGTTACAAGGCGATGCCAMTGATGTATGGGAATTCTCAATGATTTCATATGTAACATGTAGTGTATGTTATATATATTATATAGGGTGTAGTAGGTCCATTTTCCTTAGGACTCACAATTGATTCTATTGTCCTTGTAGTTCTGGTCCCATACCATAAGTCCAGTCCCATGGGTTCATGAGTGATTCTCAGTACTGGTCCTACACATCTGTGCTCAGTACTGGGCTCATATACTCSTTGCATATTTGACCTTTGCAAAACTGCACTAGGGTCAAAATTTTTGAGACTTTGAAATGCAACACTATAAGAACACATCGGCTGTTGCAAGACTGAATCATATGTGACTACTAAAAAATGCAAGACTGAACACACATGAGACGAAATATTTTCATGTAAATTCTTAGACCTTCTAGTACACTACTACATCATTTGATGTAGTAGTCAAGATTACTGCAATTACTGCTAGAATACTACTAGTAGCTGCATGGTACCAGCAATAGCAATGACTCTGGGGCAGCCTCTGCTCTTGGTGACAGTGACACTAGTAGCAGTACAGCAGAAGAGCAGGACCCTTTGATGATCATGCATCAACAGGCACAAAAAGAGCAAGTTRCAGTGTCTGCCAATCCTCAAAGCATCAAGGAATCATGGAAGATGGAGCTGCTTAGCTACATTTCCCATCCCCAGCAACTTGCACCCTTTCAGATAGACAAGGAGAGTCGTGGCAAGACCACCAGGCACTCCATCCTTCTATAATGGTGGGGAAATAAAAGAACCAATTTCCAACAATGGCTGGTGTTCTAGCAAGGAAGTATCTTACTGTTCAAGCAACATCTGCTCCTTCAGAAACTTTATCTACTACTACTATTAGTACTACTAGGGCGCAGAGGATCATCAGTGATCTGCACACTTCGTGTGRCCAAATAGTTTCAGCCGTACGACCAAAATATTTTTGCTCGGACGTGCACTGTAGTCCTGGTAGAAGGAGGAAATTTTTAATCCCAAGAGTCATTAGACGATAATTAGATGGCCCAAAATTGACACACAGTAGAAAAACATCACCATGTAGAACAGTAAACAGAGGTTCAACGTACTCAAATAGCTATAACTTTGTCCCCAACAGACGCTTAGTAACAATGGTAAGCACATGAATTGAATCCCAGTTGAAACATGATTCTAATCATATGGGGGAGTTGGGGGGTGGGAGATCAGAGACGTATTGATTGATACTATACTATGTGTATGAATATTGATCATTCCTTATGGTGTACAAATGACACAGCCAGAAAATCTCCGCCAACTCTATAGTACAGTAAGGAAATGCTATTCAACAAAGTACTCCCAACAATCTATGAGAAGTGSCCAAGAGGAGGATCAAAAGTTCTGATGGTCCTCCAGAGATCTTCATCCAAGAAGAYAATGCCAAACCTCACAAGGAAAGTTTTACTAGGGATACGGTAGCAGCTGCTGCAAGGACAGACGGCTGAAATATTTCCGTTAGAACTCAACCACCCAACAGTCTGGATTTGAACGTACTTGACCTTGAATTTTTAACTCCATCCAAAGTTTACAGCACAAGAAATGCTTGAASAATATTGATCATTTGATTGAAAATGTTGAGAAAGCATTTGATGAATGCAAACGGGAGATATTGAATAGTATTTTCTTACGGAAGCATCACTTTGTGTCAGTGGTGACAACCACCATTCTTACAAGCTTCCTTATATGGGAAAAGCATGTCTGATGTGTCAAGGAACCCTTCCAGTTTCAATTGTTTGCAATATGGATTGCTTCATACAAGGGCAACAAGTGATTGCTAATGCTGCTGCTGAAGCTCAGGCAACAGGCAGCACAGCAGCAATAAGAATTRAAGAAGTGGTASTACTASTASTASTACTARTMKTCTTMYTASTAGTAGTAGCAAAGTAGTTAGAGTAGTAATAGTATTAGTGATAGTGAAATGAGTTTCTAGTACTAATTATACACAATCCTACCTAGGCCCCATACCAATGACACATATTTAGGAAAATCAAAATGAGGACACAATGACACATRGTGAAACCGAGGAAGTACAAATTATTACTAGTACATATCTTAGGGTTAAGGTCATTATTGAATACTGATTCGTACACGTCATATGGTAGAGTGCTGACACCTTCGACTATCACTTTCTAATCAATAATAATAAATATCAATGTCAATCCAAAAGAGAAATAAATATCAACATCAATATCAATATCAATATCAATATCGACAAATACACCCTGCGCTACCGGTACAGGATGAATGGATGCCAAGGCTCCAACAACTCAGGCTAAGAGCAGTTAGGAACAACAGCGCTCAGATGAAGTGAAGTATGATTTTATTTCGGTATCAAGATTGCTCTGTGCAGCAAGGCAAGAATAGGACAAGTGAGTAAGAATCCAGTTCTGCTGCCAAAGTGACAGGAACATATCATCCAAAATGTCATTTCTTCACTTGCGAATGCGAAACTCGAATAAATCSACCTTTGATGGTAACAGAGGTCGGTTTCATAGCACRGTGAACAACACATCCCTCCTCGGTATGTTGCTCATGCTTCCACTACTTATAATCAATGCCGAAGCGGTGAATACTACTGCTCTCGGGAATGAACTAGCTACTCTTGGMGCAAGTAATGMCGCTACGAACGCCAGWGTTTTCCGCCAGGACTTTTGTACTCCGTACAGAGSCATGATGAATAAGTCCGATTTTATTGACATCCCCTCCGCTCTGAGTGGATCCGAGTTGTCAGTGGTCACCTTTCCATCAAAATACTTCATCTATGATTATGAAACGGGAATCGACCCCGTCTATCCGGGAATCCACGCCAGGATGCTTGACTACATTGCAGAGAAAGGAAATTTCACTTGGAGGAATTCGTTCGGAGTTTTCGAGAGAGGCGGTATTAATAATAAGGAACTCCTGAACCAGAAAACAAAAAACTACGATGTATTTRTTGGTGTCTTCAGCCCATCACCCGAGCGCATGAGTCTAGGCGTTTCCTTTGTGGACGGTCATGCCGACGGAAGCATATTGATGATCCGCGACGTCCCTCCTCCAGAWGATAAGATTAACTGGTTCAACTGGACGAATCCCTTCACGCCAAATGTTTGGTWCGCSCTTATTGGCATCGTCKTTATGTCTGCCTTCGTCTACCAACTCATCGAGACCATCGGAAAAGGACCAGAAGACGACGAGAGATCYGCCCGCGTCTGGCTCAAGGACAATCTTTACCTAACCTTCATCAATTTTACGGGCAACTACAGTTACGAACCATCTACGCTAGGAGCTCGCGTCTTTGGTATCGTTTTTGCCTTCTGGGCTATGCTAATTACCGGTACGTGAAACTATTACAAATTATTATGMGTTGTGATCCCRAGTCACAACGAGATCATTCTTGTATCGACCGACTAACCCCATCGGTTTCACTCGCAACTGGACGATGATTGATTCGCACTAGCTGCATATACGGCAAATTTGGCGTCGCTCTTGGTTGGACGCGAAGTATATGGCCTCCAAATCAATASTATTCAGGATGCCGTGGCTCAGAACTTTAAGATATGCGTGGATGAAGGTACATTTGCGGAAGACATTCTGAKACAGGAACACCCCGAAACTATCCCGCTCTTGGTGCCCTTGCCTAATGAACAATTGTATGATTCCCTCAACAGGGGAGACTGCCAAATTTTGATTGAGTACMTGTCGGACTGGAAAACTACCAAGTTYCAAGTCAAGGAAAACCCAAAGTGCACCCTCAAGTGGGAAGGGCGAAAGATCAAGTCCATCAAAGACGGCTTTGCGACTCGGATGGACCCCGGTATCCTTTGTACAGACCTAGTCAACCAGGTGCTGAGCTATTACGTCAGATACATGGAGTCTCAGGGCGTTCTGAAGGAACTTTGGGACGAGCACGTGGATTACTACTCCGTTGACGGGCATTGCGACGAAGAGCCGGACCCACTGTTGGACGCGTCCGAAACGTCCGAGACGCCGGACGGGAGTGCCCGCCGTTTTCTAGAAACCATCGGAGACGCACGTGGTACCCGCCGTTTCCTCTCGGAAGACTCATCGGAAGACGGCGACTCGGCTGCGCTTACGCTGGAAGACATGGCGGGAACCTTTGCCCTTCAGATTGTTGGATCGGTGTTTGCGATTTTCGTTTCCACTCTTTCCTGGTACGAGAGAAAGATGAGGAAGAAGCGAACCGAGCGCAAACGGAAGAAATCCGTTGCCGAGGGGAATGCCTCGCACGGTAGTGTTTMTACCGGTGAAAACGGAGAAGAGGAAGGACGAGTGGACACAAATGCGAGCACCCGTGGTGCTTCTGTCGACCAACAGCTGCGTGAGCTCAACGATCGAACAGAACTCCTGGACRAAAAGCTGGAAGCCCTGTCCGACATGATGCGGCAACTCCTGGAAGATAAGAAACCCACGCACCCGTACCGCTGATTGCGCATTGCTACCGCCGGGAGAACGAGAGACCGGAAACGAAACATGGTTCCCCCGGGCCCAGCAGCACCATCCATTTTTACAGAGCGAAGCGTTTTTGCGCGTACGGACGAAACGCCATTCCGCAGAGATGCCTCGCCCGGAGCGAAGGATAGTGCAAAGAACCTATACTGTACAGTACGTACTACTAGTATAGTTCATTTGTTTTTTTTTCAATGCCTTCTAGTAGCTACTGTATTTTTTCTGCCTTGGGTTTGTACCGCAGCACGGTGCTGTGCCACTTGCTGTGTTTCCATGGCTTGCCCAAGCCGGTTCGTTCGTTCGTTCGTCACTTGCATTCGCGGTCGCCTTCGGARGGTGGATTCCACCGGGGAATGGCGGGCACCGGCGCCTCCTCCTCGTCTCCGGGTGGTGCGCAGGGGCCGCCGCAGCCAAAGAAGTACTCCGAGAGTTCTCGTGCATCGGGACCCGGAACGGGGCCGCCCCCGGGTCGTTCCCCGCGGTGGTGGTCTTCCACTTGAACCAGCACGTAGGCCTCCCCGATGGCCAGCAGGAGCATCCCCATGGCGGTCTCCGCGGTCTCCCACCCAAACTTCTTGTCCGCCGCCAGCCGCCTCCGGAGGTCGGACCCCACTACCGGGTGGTTTAGGTAGCAGAGGTAGTGCTTGTGCATCACGGTTCCGTGGAGCGACGAAAGGGGGCACACMACGGGCTCGGGGGCAYCGGCAGCCCCCGGTGGGGGCCCAGAGGGGAGGACCAGCGCACTCGGGAGTTCCCTCCAGGCGCGGAACAAGATGGCGGTGTCCCTYCGCRTGCCCCGCACACCGCCACGGTGGCCCGCTCCGGGACTGGATCCTCGTTCTCGTTCCCGTTCTGCGTCCACCCACACCAGGCCCTCCGAGGGAACGTCCAGCCCATCGATGGCCCCAAACAGCGAGGCCGACTCCACCACCCGCACCGCGTCGGTGTCCCTCCACGCTTCGATCCGTGCTCTGTACTTGTTGCGGRGTACCGATGCGACGGCGGTAGTGGTGCCGTTGCGTGTGTCTTGTTTGTCTTGTTCGTTCGCGGCGTCTTCGCCTTCGTCTCGTCGCAACACCAGATTGACCCTCTCGACGGAGGGTCGCGCCAGGAATTTCATGGTTGTGACCACTAGRTTCCTCCAGTAGGCATTTTCGTCGTCGCTGTCGTTGTCGTCGTTTTCACTGTTGTTACCACGGGGTCTTCCCCCCGAATAAACCAACACAGTGTGGTTTGCCGAGGAACAGGACGGCCCCTGGGGCGGAGAGGAACAATACCGCAGGCGGAGGTGACGTGGGGAAGATCCCTGGGAAGGTCCTTGGGAAGGTCCTTGGGAAGGTCCTTGGGAAGATCCTTCGCTACCCAGGGGGTCTAACTCCGGGAACGATGGTGTCCGCCCACGCTCTTTCTCTCGCTCCCGGTCCACGTAGGCCCTCACGGCGTCCTGGAATCCGAGGGGCGGGAGGGCATGGACTCCCGGTCGTTTGTGTTTGTTCCGCTTCGTGTCCGTGGCTGGGGCCGAGGCATCCGATCCGCCTTTGCGTTCGCCGCAGCGCAAGCCACCGCGTTCTCGTTTTCGTTCTCCGTAGGGGTATCGGGTGGCGTTGCCGGTGGCGTTGCCCGTGGCACCGGCCGCAGGGGCGTGGTGGTTCTTGTGCTTCTTTCGTGGGTTGTGCAAGTGTTCTTCCTGGAGCAAGAACCGGTGCCAGAACCCACGCTCCTCGGAAAACCGAAACARGGGCTGCTTCCCCGGTCGCTTCCGCTGAGACGGCGCTGTTGCCAAGGGTTCCGGTAGGCCCAAAAGYGTTAGCGACACCGGGGGGGATTTTGCTTTGTTTTCCCCTTTGTCGGCCCCCCGCGAATGGTGCTCGATGGTTCGTACCGCCAGCAGCAGGTTCCCGACAAAGGCGAGGACCACGAGGCGGAACCAGGCCTCCGGCTTTTGCCACGGGGGAGGGGAGCGACGGTTGCCGCTTGCGTTCCCGTGGGTGGAAGACGAAACAGAGAAAGCAACAGCTTTCCCCCTTGGGCCTTTTGGTTGCGAACACGGATCTCCTCCCCACCTTTGGCGGCCATTCCGGTGGCGTTGGCTCGCTGCGCTCTGCGGTTGCATCCCGTGTCCCGTGCCCGAAGCACCAACGCGCGCCTCCCGGGCTGTCGGTGTCAAACGGACTGGATGGTTTCTTTCTTCTTTACGGTACTGTATTTGTTCGCGTGTGTTGTGTTGTGTTGTGTTGTGTTGTGTAACTGTTAACAGTAACAAAAACAAACAGTCGGTCCGACACTCTGTGTTTCGGTTTGTTGGAACAGTCCGCTTCTTTGTGTGTTTTTCTCCTCTGCTACGGAACGGCCGTCATTCTCCAACCTGGCCCGCAACACACCGGCCGCTCGATCTCGATCGATCTGCTTGTTCCTTTTCCGAAACCGCCAAGAAGGTTTTCTGTTTCCGCTTGTGCTACGGTACCGTACCGTTACGGGCACGGAACTCGTACTCAAACGAGAAACGAAATTCAAATTCAATTTTTTTACAGCATGGACTAGCAGAAAATGAAACACAGAACACTCATGCAGTGTCATGTGTACCGTACGGTACTTTACTGCAGGGGTCATAAATTTAGATGACCCCTGCTTTACTGTACGGTATGGACTCGTATCGTAGGCGAAACAACTCTTGTTACGTTATCTAGTACGTACGTATTCGTACCTATTACTCATATCTTTACAACGGCTAGCGTCGAAGGTCGAGAAGTCGAGGGCAAGCGGCAACGGACAASGCAACAAACTGTGTTATTCACTTGTGATTCACTTGTGATTGTTTTTGACCATGCCGTAAGTGCTCGCCCAGGCCACCAGGCACAAAACGAAACGAAACGAAACGAAACACGGTATCGAGGAAGCAACCACCATGCGCACGGTGTTCCAAGGGTGCACGAGCAGCCGCAGGGCGTTTCGATCCCGGCCCGGAATCCTTCCCGCGGTGGTCCTGTGTTCGGCCCTCTCGCTCTCGCTGTTGCTCTCGCTGTTGCTGTCGCTGTTGCTCTCGCTTTCGCGAACCCGGGCGTGGGCTCCGGTGGTGCGGAGAAACCACCCGCTCGGGGCAATGGACAAGAGGTCGCCCGGGGGGGCGGAACGRGGGCGTCCGCTGCGTGGGGCTCTGTTGCGGCCTTGTCCTCCGTCGCCGCGTTTGATGCCAATGGCAATGCCAATGGCAATGCTGCCGGAAACCCCCGGGCGCCGGAAAGGAACCCACCGGCTCTACGGGGTCACCGCAGACAACACGGAAGATTCTTCGGGAGAGGCGGAAACCGAAACCGAAATTGCCACCGGCTTCTACAAGATCAGTGATCTCCGGGACATGGACGTGGTGATCTATTCCCTGGAAACAGAAACAGAAACGACCACGGGCGAGGGCAGGGATACACCGGCCGCCCTCTGCCTAGGGGCTCTCCAGGAGGACGGGACCCTCAGCCCTCTGTCGGCCTGGACGGACGAGCCGGCCTTTGGGGACTCGATCGAGTGCCTCGTCGACGAGGAAGACCGCTTTGTTCTGGCGGGGGCCACGGAGGAACAGCGCAGGCGCGAAGAAGGAGACGGAGCCGATGGTTTCGGAGAGGCAAGGGGGGGWGRAMYGGCCGGGAGCACAAAGCTCACCGGGCCCGTTCTGAGGGTCCACCATTTGTTGTCGGAGGACGAGGTGTCCTACGGATCCCGGCAGTGCCCCCGCGGACCGCACAACCCCCACGGCGAGGAGAGCGAGCTCCTGTACTACGTGAGCCAGGAACGCGTCCTCGACCGCTTCGGGGTCGCCCCGGCCCTAAAGCCGGACCTGGAGATTCTGTGGTGAGGGGGCGTGCTGTGCGTGCGGGTCAACACAACCCAGCCCGAGCGAAAGGCAAGGGCAAGGGCAAGGGCAAGGGCAAGGGCAAGGGCAAGGGCAAGGGCAAGGGCAAGGGCAAGGGCAAGGGCAA